AGGCGGAATGTTGAAGCCTAAAAAAGACATCTCAGCTTTCTACTTGAACTAAATCTACGATTGAACTGATTTACTTATTTAAAACCGCATTTAACAAAAATCAATTGACGTCTATCTATAACTCATGAAATAATTTACACTCTTTGCGAATCACTAGTTTTATTCAGTCGGATTGGTGATTTTTCGTTTCCCAACTTCTGCTGCACAACATTTTTGGTGCAACGCGACTCACGAACGAACCAAAGATTAGAAACAAAGAGAAAAGTTAAAAATGTCATCACCTGCTAGTGACATGAGCAACGTGACGCTCACTCTTCCTGCTTTGAAGCGATCAAGAAGTGCTAACATCGGTGTCATTACCCGATCGGAAAATGCCGTCTCAGCAATCTTCAACAAAGAGGCATCTGCTCTAATCTACAAGGAAATTGGAACTCTCAAGGCCAATCTGACGATGTGCGAACGAAAGAAAAAGGACCTAGAAGAGCTTAGTCAGCAAATTTCAAATGTTCTAAACGACGATGAAGATGCACTTGAAGTTGAATTGGAAGAAGCTGAGAAAATCTACCTTCAAGTAGATTGTTTGATGGAAATGATCACAACTATTTTAGATGACCGAGGAAAATATTCAACTGAATCGGTCAAAGATGACGACAGCGCAAGCGGAACAGGATCCTACAAATCCACTTCCCAACGTGGTGCTGGCCGAAACCAAGATACTTGGCTGAAGTTGCCGAAACTGAATTCGCCAGCATTTAGCGGAAGGTATGATCAATGGCTACCTTTCTTAGATTCCTTTGATGGAGCAGTTCACTCAAATGCATCGCTGTCTGATGTTCAGAAATACCTAAAGGGTGCCCTCAAGGATGAACCGTTTCGTTTGCTATCCCACTTGCCTACTACAAACGCGAACTACTCAGTCGCAAGGGAACTTCTAAAGGATCGATAAGCTGATGTCAAGATGATCTCACACGCTCACTTGGAAGCAATTTTTGAATTCACTCCAATGAAGCATGAGTCATCCGCTGCAATACGTCGCTTGATTAACACCTACACGGAAAACACGATGGCACTGACAGGACTTGGACTAAAAATTGATCAATGCGATTTGATCTGGGTTCACGTTTTGGCCAAGAAATTAGATCCTGAAACTAGAAGACAATGGGAACTTTCCTGCGCGGGAAGTGACGTGCCAAAAATCAAACAGTTGAAGAAGTTCTTGGAGGAACGATCTCGCGCCCTAGAAGCTACGAAGGACCTCCAATAGAAAATTTCTCAAATATTTTGACCCTCCTTCGCAGCACTTTTTCGTTGTTAAGGCCTTTTATTGTTCTTTCGTGTTCTGCCGGAAGGTTGTGCTGTGCCAGTCTGGCAGAATGGCACAATTTGTTTTCTAGCTTTGAGCCAATGGCGTTAAGCGCTTTTTTCTCTCGCCGTGTGTTACGGTTGGAACGACTAACATTCTTTCTCGTTTTTAAATGGTCTTCCTGCTAGCGTACATGAAAAGCTCGATGCAACACTGTTTGTTTTCATATTTAAGTGAGTTTGATATCCAGTGCAATGGAAACATTTTATCTCTGGAGTGCGACTCTTGACAAGGCCAACAAAGTTAAACAATGGGCACGTGACGACGAAGATGATCGCATTTTAAGCTTCAGTAATGTTTTCCTTGGTGATAGCAGCAAAGAAAATGAGCTGAATGTTGTAAACATAGAGCATACGGACGTTGATGGAGAAGATGTCAGCTGTGTTTTTTGTGTCCTGCAGAAAGGTGGGTGAGGCAATCGTTTCATAGTAACCAATATTTATGAAGCATGTCTTTACAATGTTAGTCTGTTACACCAGGAGTGACGGACACTATTCAAATCCAGCTGAAAACCTCCGAAGACTTCAAGCTTGTTCTCAAAAAAGGAAATGGTCCAGTGTACGTCATGGGAACTCAGAGTACCATGTTTTTCAATGACATGGATGATGCGAGTATGGACGATGAAGAAGATATGAACGAAGAAAGCGAGGCTTCTCCTGTGAAATTGGTGAAAGTAGCTGGGACCAAGAAGAAAATCATCGAGACCGATGAAGAAGACAGAGAAGGCGAAGGCCCAGAGAAAGCGGAGAAATCTCCTCCTGCTAGGAAGAAGGAAATTGAAGAACCAAAGGTATGTAACATTCGTCTACTACAGTCACACATGAGGCTTAAGAAAAATAGGCCCTATAACTATTGGCTCAGGAGTCAGGGACACTATCTCTTGTGTTTTTCCGCCTCAAATCAGTCGGAGCCAATTCGGTTCGCTTGTGACATGAGACTACGACCCGTTACAGCTTAAAGGCTACTACTAAAATATCCCCCCACTCTAGAATTAGAAACGTCCCCATACTTAGGTCTCTAGATACCCAAAATACATGAACGCCGTTAAAAACCGGGTTGGAACAATCCGTTAAGTTACTTTTTATTAGACAGTGGAACTTTGATCCATTTCAGATGGATCAACCTAAAACTCGCCTTACCTCAACATAACAATTATAAAACACACTCTAGAATTTTAAATTAAGGACTCACATGTTGATGCGCTCAAGCACAGGAAGTAATTAAATGGGTGAGCAACTCTAGAATTAACTAAAATAACTAGATAAGTTCAATGTTTATCAGTTTGAATGGTAATGGTAAGTTTGAACTCAAGAACGAAGTTTTATGTGGACCATTGGGACACTCAAGCTGTCCACCTTTCCGTCGAAGGTTCACTCTGGTCCAGTTCGAATAATTACTCTCTCGGGAATACTCTGTCTTCTATTTCAGATAGGACAGCTCTACTCTTGTTCACTATGATGGAAATTGCGAATAGCAATTTCCCACTCGTTTTTATATGACAACTTTCCCGCGTGTGTGTCTTAATCGTTCTGATTTCTTTTTCTGATTTTCAGTTCTCGCGAGAAAATCATGCATGACATGTTCCATTCGAAATTTTAAAAATTTAAATTTCACTCCAAAATCAAGTGTTTTCTGCTCTTCTCAAGGTCAAACTTCCAAATATGACCGACTGGCACATACTCCCCGGACTCGAGATCGATGTCCTCATCGCGTGCTGTCTTCTGCCAGTGAGTCCCAGAAAACCGAGTGTTGCTCAAGATACAGTGCCAGTGGTCATTTACAGAAGTTTGCAGCAGACTTAAGCTTATCTACACCCCAAAATTCACAGCCATGTAAAATTTTCACACTATTGCTAAACAGCAATCAAAATCTGCACACACCTGCACCCTTGAATTTTCGCTCTTCAAGCCAATCATTTTAAAATCTCTTTTGTCCTATTCAATCAGGAAATTGTCATGCAGCATTTCGATTTATATAATAGATATAGTATATTAGTAACAATATTTGCTTTGTTAAAATTTCTTTTTCGTGAATCCAAGTTTCACTCGGATTCACACTCAAGCCCCCTTTCCCTCTCAAGACTCAAGATCCATCCGATTTGCCCATTCATCTCGTACTCTTCGCCTTGGAGGTACTGCATCCTGAAGTGCTAGATGCGGCAAACTGTCTCAACAGTTCCTCTTCATCATCGGAACTAATCACAATCTCCTCCCAAGCCTTCAGCTGTTCATAGGATCGCATCCATTCTCTCTGCTCCTGCAATCTCTTTGCTTGGTTGGGTAGTGCCTTCACCCTAGCTTCTCGGTTCAAGCAAAAGGAGTTGTGCAGGCTCAAGCTCACGTTCTTCGCCAGGTCTTCCTCTAGTATCGACTCCCTCGCTTTGGTATTGTCTCTAGACATCTTACCCACTCTCTTCCATCCCGTCGTGATCGCATTACGATGGGTTAGCAGGGGTCTCTTGAAAGCTTCCGGCCCAATCTCGGCCTGGAACTGTCGATACTCCTTTTGATGTTTTCTCATGTGATCTTTCGTTGCCCTGTACAACCAAGACGTCAGTGTCGCCCGAAAACATGGAAAGTACCTCAAGCGACTCCATACGTGCCTGACTTCCGTCGGTATGGCGAATACTTTGCGCGCAGTCTCAAACAACTCGAGTCTCCTGCTGTAGTCTATCGCGTATATTGACTCAGCCGTTGGCGTCGTCGCCTCCCGATACTTCGTTATATTCTCTTCTATCCATCTCAGAGCTAACATCGTACTCACTACTAAGAGCGTCACCTTCTGCCGGTGATCCGGTAGTCCGATCGACCGAATCTCTTCCACATCCCACACCAGGCAAAGGTTCTTGTGATCTGGATACCACACCGTTTGTGCCAAACAGTGGCATGGGCATTCCCCATGAGAGATCTCAATGCTCCTGAGATTACGCTCCCCTGAGGCTTCCAAGAGAGGCTCAAGCTCCATCATTTTCTCGTGCATCGTGTCGTTGTCTTCCAGGTTCGGAGTACTTCCCACAGGTTTCCCGATCACGTTTTGTCTCTCGTGATCGCTTGTGGTTTCTCTTTCCAACTTCAGAAGATCTTCTCCCCAGATTTCGCTTAAGTCATCTCTCAATTCTTTTGGTACTGTCCCTTTGATTTTTCTCAACAACTTGTGCGAGTGATGCGACATCCGAGCCAACCTCACGCACTTGGGCACTGAGAAGGCCTTGTCCACCAGTATTCTCTGGCTGGACACTTCCACCATCGCCATGTGTAGCGGGTAGTGACTTCCGCACAAGTTGGCCATCATTGACCCTATCAGCGATTTCGCGTTCAATGGCAAGCCATAAGCTTCGCTCAGGGGAAATCCCATTTCCGCCTCAAGACCAACTTTCCAGCTCCGGATGTGTTTTTGAGTCACCTGCAACACCCCGGGCCATGATTCTACGCTCAACGCCGTCACTAAATGATGTTCAGACTCCAGTCTCTCCAGTGCCTGCAGACCACACATTCTCGAGAAGAATCCGAGAGCTGTCGCTATATTCACCGTGGTTCTCGCGTAACATTCCGCTATTATTTGCACTTCACTTTTCTCCCTTTCTGTGATGTCTTCGAACCAACAGACCAGGTCTTCTTTTTGAAACGACAGTATTCTGACGCATGACCGTCCATCGCAGATGTGCTCTCCGTTCCCACACGTCGAATCCAGACAGCTACCCGGCTCCAATTTCTTTGCTGACCCGGGGTCGCTCGTCCTTTCGCTTGGCTCTTGCATCTGGGGTGAGATTAGCTTATGTAGCACACTCAACTTCGCCAGATCTTCATCTTCCGTTGGTGCTAACCTCACTCGCTCGGTGGTTTCCTCGATTAGACTCGCATGGGGATGTGGACACCAGGAGGGTCTTAGTAGCTTCCATATCACTCCCAAGTTCGTGGTTAACAAGCCATCTCCACCGCCCATGTTCACTTCAACTCTCTTGTTTGAGCGCGGTATGCTTATCACCTCTGGTGTTTTCTCAAGAATCAGGCCCAGGCTCGGCCCCTCTTTCTCCACCGCGTCTATCTCCATTATTCTTTCTGTCCAAAACTTCAGTAGCTCCGCTACCTCATGGTTTCTGTGGGCTCCTCCAGCTTCCGAGTCTAAGAAGGGATTGTAGGCTATTCCCATCACTCCAGACACATATTGGTATTCCCCCTTCTCACTGAGTCTCGAGTACTGTTCTGACGAGGCCAGGTTACGGTGAACATCATTTTCTTCCTCGAACTTCTTATTAGAGAACCTCCGTACCTCGTCCAGCTTTCGATGGTTCTCTAAGGATAGTCTGGAACCATCTTCTTTCTCTATTCCTGTACTCTGATATACGTTCAAGATGATCGTTGAGACTCTTCTCTCCATGGTTTTACTTCCACTTGCTCTCTGGTGGCATGCCAGGATGGTGCTATCAGACATCATTGACATTGTCCATCTCAAGAAACATGTGGCATCTTTTCTTCTAGCCAGGCTCAAGCCTGAATTGTCCCTGGCCACGTGTTGCATCAGTGCCTGATACACCTCTAGCTTCTTGCTTCCCAACTTCAGCCTGTCATACGAGGTCAATGTCTCCAACTCTATTCCCACCAGACTCCAGGTGAACATTAATTGTCCCGCAGTTCTAACGAAGGGATTCGCCATTAGTGGCGGTGCTGATGAGGATGTTCTCATCGCCTCTTCAAAATGATCCTTCAACATCTCTGCCAGGACCTCTTCAGATGACTTGCCATCTCTATCTTATTAACCTCGGCTTTTTGCTGGGTGGCCCAATTGCGTCGCCTGCGAGCTATTCCACTGTCCAACTTCTTCAAGCAGTCCTCCATTTCCTTCAATGTTTCGAGGGCCACCCACCACGTCCGGGAAGTGTTCCTCGTCTTGTTCCTCTCCAATGGATCACTCGTCACTTGTTTGCCCATGTCCTGATGTGCCTTCGAGATCCATTCTTTGCCGATCTCCACTTCCCCTACCTGTCCGTTCGTTGAACCTCTCTTCACGTTTACCTTCTGAGGCTTGAAGTCTTCTTCTGACGTCGAACTGGTGGAAACCTCTATTTCCTCTTCTACTTCAAGTGGTTTCCTGAGCTCCGAGCTATTCTTGTATGCCGCCGTCTTGCATCGGGCCAAAACGATGGGCGCCGTCTCTCTCAAGTTTCCTTCCGAAACAGCATCCACTGAAGGACTACCCCATCCTTCCACTTCTCTCTTCCTCTTGCGAGTCTTCACATCTCTGCTCGAGGGTGTTGTGGCTATCATCATTGATTCGACCTCTCCATCCACTCCTTCCAACTCTTGCCTCCCCCCTGCTCGAGCCTTAAGGATATTAGTACTTTTAATCATATTACTAGTCCCAACCTTATCCCTTTTTATATCATCAACCATTTTATCCACAGTTTTTTGTTTCAGAGTAGAGCTGTCCTCACATTTCTCTTTTCTAGTCTTCGATCGTGCGTTCCTCATCTCCACTAGCTTGTTCAGCAGCTCTTTTCTTGCTTTCTCATCCAGGCCCGTTCCTATCAGGAGCGGTTCCCCGAATCTCACTACTGCGTCCCACAGTTCCTTCTTGAACTTGTCCAGCGTCGTCTCGCTGCCCACTTCTCGATTGAATTCCTCCAGGAACTCCTGCCAAGCGTCATCCTCGAGAGATCCCAAGAATATGTCCCTGTTCCCTTCGAACGTGTTCTTCTCCCTTTCCTCCGAGCTCAAGAGTAATATCCCCATATTGAAGGTCTCACCTGCCAATGGCAACTCTAGGTTCTTCCGCGGAGACGGAATCAGGGGT